GGGAGCCTTCCCTGATAGCCATGGTGAAATAACCGCAGTCACGACCGTGGGCGTCTTCGACATAAGAGAGAGAGAGAGAGAGAGAGAAAAAAAAAAAGAGAGCGCGGCCTGCAGTCGTTTGACTGGAATAACTGCCCTCCCTCCTCCTCGAAGCCGAGGAGTCCGAGGCGGGCTGGAAACTTCGTGCCGAGACCAGGGGCCTCGCCGGCGCGCCCGCCAGCCTCCCCGATGCAGATGCCGCGGGCAGCGACCCCGCCACCCACGGGTGGGCTAGGCACGGGCCGCCCCCGAGCAGTGCCGCCATTGCCGCCGTGGTCCGAGCAGCCGCGGCAGGCCGCCCTCCCGCCGCGGCCGCCGCGGCCGCAGCTCTTCGGGGCGGCCAGGGCTGCCACGTCGCCCCAGGGCGAGCTCTGCGTGAGCCTGGCATGGCTGAAGTGGCTGCCGTCGGGAGGGCTGCTGGCCAAGATGATCCTGGGCGGGGTGCTCATCAGCCTGCTGCCGTCGGCGTTGTTCCCCAACGCCGTGAGGGGCCCGATCGTGATGACAGACGTGGCCCAGGAGGTGGGGTCGGCAGCAGGCAAGAGTGTGACGGCTGGAGGCAACGTCAGCACCAGTGCCGCCAAGATCGTGTCGGCAGTAACCGACGGCTCCATCGGAGTGATTGAGGCGGATGGCGAGGCGTGGACCTCCTGGACGTGGACATCGTGGGCAGCTCTGGCCGATTTTTCGTCGAGAGCGAGGACAGCTGGGCAGACCTCCTTGCCGAGCCAGAGGTGCAGCATACGATGGGGTTGGAGCATAAAGCTTTGAGTGAGCTCGAGTGCTTGCTGTCCCTATGCTCGTCCAGCCGCTCTCGAGGCGAATGCACGCATCACCGTTTTCTTTCAGCGCAGCTTTACCAGCTTGTGAGTTGTTGGATCCGTTGGCTCCCCAGCGGCAACGTCGGGACTGCCTGGAGGATGGTCACAATGACCTTTCGCCCTCAGTGGGCAGACCCCCTTTGCGGGATCCTCGGCGTAAATGAGCCAGCCGAGACCCCGAGCATGAGCGACCGGCTTCAGCAGCTAGCTCTTCAGACCTTCCCTGAGCCTGACCTCGACCTCGGCCCCGAGGCGCTCCGGGGCTCCCCTTCTCTCCCCATCTGGTGTTTCTCGGAGGCGCTTTCAGCGCACCGTGGAGTGGGTTGCGCGGGTCTTCGGGAGCCTCCGTTCAGTCTTTGCCCCAGCTGGCGCAGCACTGATCTCCTTGGACCGCGGAGCGAGCGGCCGACAGCACAACAGGGCGAGCGTGGTCTGCTGCAGGCGACAGTCGGATCGTGAGGCCGCTCGCGGGTGCGCGTGGTGGTGAGCGCACTGGAGCTCTGATCGTCCAGCACCCGTGTCAGTCGAAGTCCAGCTCGCAAGCAATTCAAGTGGAGCTGATTTTCTCGTGTGGCCTCGCGCGTGCAGGGCGCGAGTGGCAGGCGCTCATGTACACGTTCATCAGAAGCGTTCGGCCATCTCTCGTCTCTCTGTCCAGTCGGGGAGGGCCTGAACCTTAGTGCCGAACTCGTCGAATGAGCTCGTGAATGGTAGTTTTGAGTGAGCACGGAGGGGCTGCATGGTGGGAGCAGAATATTTGTTGTCGCACATGCATGCTCAAGCACGCCCCTCCCGAGGCTTCTGGCAGCCGAGGATTTTAACCCCCTCTCCTCGACTCGCCTCCCTCTCTCGCGCACTTGAGCTCTGACCATCTAGCATCCGTACCAGTCGAGGTCCAGTTTGCAAGACATTTAAGTTGAGCTGATTTTTCTTTTGACCCCGCGCGTGACGGACGTGACGGGAAGGCGCAGATGTACACATGCATCAGAAGTGCTGTGGAAAACACCAGGGCTGGCAGCAACATCAGTTCGGCCATCTCTCGTCTCTCTGTCCAGTCAGGGTGGGCCTCAACCTGAGTGCTGAACTGATCCATATATGTATATGTATGTACCATGATGCAAAACTACGTACACGCACATACATGCATACATGCTTGCATGCATACATACATGCATGCGCATCTACACATATATATATATATATATATGTATACAAGCATACATGCATACGCAACTCTATATTTATATAAGGCATACATACGTATATGCCTACGTATGAACAGACCTACGGGCGTACGTACATGCATACACAGGGCGTGCGTACATACATGCATACATACGTACATACATGCATGCATACATGCATGGATTCATTCCCTACCTAGGCTCTGGCAAAAAAGGCTCTTACCCTATAGCTTAAAGGGGCCGGGCAGTGGACCCCGCCCCGGGCGGTTCCCCCGGCATCCGCCCCGCGGTTCCCCCAGTTGCGCCTCCTTGGTTCACCCTGCTTGGCTTAGCTAAGCTTAGCTTAGCTTAGCCGAGCTTAGCTTAGCTTATCTCATCTTAGCTTAGCTTAGCTTAGCTTTGCCTAGCCTAGCCTAGCTTAGCTTGGCTTCGCTAAACTCAGCTTATCTTAGCTTGGCTTAGCTTAGCTTTGCTTAGTTTAGCTTAGCCTAGCTTAGCTTAGCATAGCTTAGCTTACCTTAGCTTAGCGCAGCATAGCGCAGCGCAGCATTAGCACAGCATAGCACAGCATAGCATATCATAGCATATCATAGCATAGCTCAGCATAGCATTGCATAGCGCAGCATAGCATAGCATAGCATATCATCACATTGCTTAGCATAGTACAGCGAAGCATAGCATCGCATAGTACAGCCTAGCACAGCATAGCATAGCATAGCGCAGCATAGCATAGCATGGCATATCATAGCGCAGCATCGCATATCATAGCATAGCCTAGCATAGCCTAGCATAGCATAGCGCAGCATAGCATAGCATAGCGCAGCATAGCATAGCATGGCATAGCGCAGCATAGCATGGCATAGCATAGCCTAGCATAACACAGCGCAGCCGAGCGTAGGTGTAGATGTAGATGTAGATGTGAGTCTCGCTGTTGATGTTGATGTAGATGTAGATGCAGGTGTAGATGTAAATGTAGCCGTCGGTGTAGATGTAGATGTTGCTTTCCTAAATGCTCCAACTCCTAGGTAGGATCGCACTGGGATAATGTATGCATACGTACATGCATACATACATGCATGCATACATGCATCCATCCATACATACATATTTTCATGTTCACATACGTACATGCATGCATGCATACATCTACACGTACCGACAGACCTACCTACCGACCGACCGTCCGGCCTACATATATACGTGCATCCATGCACGTATACATATATATACATATATATAGATATGCACAGCGACATACATGCACACATATACATACATACAAACATACATACATACATGCATACATCCATCCATCCATCCATCCATCCATACATACATCCATACATACATACATCCATACATACATACATACGTACATACATACATGCATGCATGCATGCATACATACATACATTGATACATGCATATACACGCATCCATCCATCCATCCGTCCATCCATCCATACATCCATCCATCCACCCATACATACATGCATACATACATACATGCATGCATGCATACAGACTTACATAGATACGTACGCACGTATGTACATACCTGTCGTTACCCGCGAGCGTCCTGGAGCCCAAGATGGGACAGAGGGAGAAAGCCAGTCGTGCGTTTTTCACGTCGCCTCGATGCCAAGGCCTTCCCCAGACACCCCCGAACATCCCCTGTGCTCGCCTTCCGAGCCGCGCCCGGCCGTGACACGACGAGGGCTCTCCAGAGCGAGCTGTGGCGTCGGTATCTCGTCCTCTTCTGAAGGGTGGGTGCGCCCACGTTCATGCTCCCCGTCTGCGTAGCCCTCCGAGAGGCTCTCGGACCCAGCATCCGTCTCGCCCTGGCCGGCCATGCGCAAGAGCGACTCTGGGCAAGCGTGACCCTTGGTGCGCGGCTTCAGAGAGCCGCCAGGAGGCCAAAACCTGGCGCGCCAGCCAGTGCTGACGGGCCCGCACCGAGCCCTGAGATCCGACGTTGCGAAAACTGTAACAGTGTCGAACGTCCACGACCAGAACCCCAGACCCCATCTTTCCGCGGCACTTCTCGAGCCACATCCATCCGAGATGGCCCAGGGGCCCGAAGCCGCGGGCGGAAACGCCCTGCGTGAAAAACTGCCACGCCCGGATCTCAGGGACCCCCCTCCTCGAGCCTGGCTTTCGGCAGAAGAAAAAGAAGAAACGGCATAAACATCAAACTGTTGGCGCTCCGCGCGGAGCGCCAGGGGCGCCACCAGGGGGGCCCACGCGCGGCTTCAAGAAATCCGCGCAGGGCGCCACAAGCTTATGCTCATGGCGTTTTCTCGTGTTCGCTCCGGGCCGTGACCTGGGCCTCTGGCGGCAGCTCGGGGCGATGCGGGCACCACCGGAGCGGCCTCTGCGGGGCGCGGCCGCCCGAGGCGAGGAGGCGCCATATCGACAACGGCCAGGGAGGCCTGGACCTCTCGCGCAGGCGACTGTTGCGCGCAGCCGACACTGGAGGAAGACAGGAAGCATGATTAGCCGACGCTCCGCGCGGATCTCTTGGATCTGCGCCAGGCCCCCCTCTCTGGCGCGCGGAGCGCGCCAGGGGCGGCGCCGGAGGCGCCGCCAGCGGGGCCCCCACGCAGACCCAAGAGATCGGCGCGGAGCATCGACAGCTTATGTTCATGCCGCTTCCTGTTCTTCGAAACCTCGAGTAAGGGATCGATTCCAGAATTGATTTGCCCCATACTTGATTTGGCCGTCGAATCTACAGGCGATACGTATATTGCTCCGTAGATATACGAACAACACTCTCTGATTTGTTCGTGGGTTCGACGAAAAAAACAATTTTGGGGTAAATCAAGAATGTAGTAATTGATAGGGGCCTTCCATACCATCTTGCTGGCCTTTGCGAATCGACGCTAATCGACGCTTTGGCGCTAAACGACGCTAAATCGGCGCTATCTCATCGATTCCCAAACGCCAGTCGACGCCCATCGACGCCAAATACGGAATTGCGAGGGTACACCAAGCTCCCATGACTTGCGACTGAAAAGACCAACACGTACCGATACCGCTACTCCCGGACCTCTCCTGGGGTGCGTTCTGACCAGAATTTCGAGGCGAATCCAGCGGTGGCGACGAGGGCCTCACAGGAGGCCTAACATGGGGAAATCGAGGGAAGAGTGGCGGCATGGGTACCTCCTCTTCGTCTCCTGCTCGGAGGCCTGGTGCCACAGCACGCACGCCACGAAGCTCCCGCGCGGCGCCGCCCCGAGCGCCGCGGCGCAGCGCGCCCGCGCCTCCGCGAGCAGAGGGCCACCGTGCGGGGCCCACTCGGCGATCGCGGAGCCACCCACGGCGGCGGGCACCTGCCGGGAAGGCGGCGACGACTGCGACGACGACGACGACGACGAAACGACAACGACGACGGCGACGAAACGACAACGACAACGACGACGACGACGACTTCACTTACTTTCGGCATTCGAACAGTATTACCAAGGCCATAGCCGACACTAGCACGCTTTATTAGTTATGTGACAGAACGGAGGGCAGCAGCTGACTAGAAACAGACAGTTACATCATATAGACGTCTGAAGCTCTACAAATTCGGCCATCTGTAAGTACACCCAACTGTCCCCCCACCCTTCCCGCCTACGCTTCTCTTTGGAACAACCCATGTCCTTGAGGCGCCAGTCAAGCCAGGCCGCTGAATATGATTGCCATTCCTCTAAACTCTTGGTGTGGTGATACCATCGCGGGGACTTGGAAAAATGGTACAACTGATTTTTTCCCACCGCCAGACGTGAAACTTCCGCTGGTGGCCTTGGGACCAAATCAGTTCCTGCACATGTGTGAGATGTCCATAGTTATTGTATTTGCTGGCTTGATACACAATACGATGTTAATCAGAGCGTTCCATGCGCATGCTGTGTCCTGCCCAGGAGTAGTTCAAAAGGAGCACGTGGTGGTCTCAGGGGGTCGAGCTGTTTTTCTCCATGGCCAGGCGGATTCGGCGGTGTCTTTTCATGTAGTCCTCTACGCCCTCCTGGTCGTCCTTGGGGATCCTCATCATGTAGCGGAACATCCTATACTGAGCTGATCGGATTTGGGTTAAATGTTGACGAGTGAATAGCAGTGATCCGAAGTGGTGAAACGCTGCGGCCTTGACGGTGCGATCCAATGAGGACATTATCTTCCCCAATGGCGCACGACGCGCACGCAGAGGGGCTTTGTTCTTGGCGAAACAGGCACAGGCGCGTGCAATTCCCTTCTGAACGGACGTACTCGCACTCCAGTCAAGAGATATTTGAGCCCCCAACATCTTGATCCCCTTCTTTCAAGATATTCGTGTCACACGGCCCTCGGAAAGCATCGCTGAGGAGTCGGCATTGTCGGCCGTTGTGATCCCAGAGCACTCGCTATGTTTGATAACTACTCGATACTGCCGTGGAAGGTTGAGGTGCCATGCCTCCATCATCTGGGCGGGCATGGAGGGCGAAGAAGCGCGCGCAAAATAATTGTCAGCAGAGAGCCACAGGCTGATGCGATCGATCTTCAAATCCTTTCGTCGTCGTTTTTTGTCTCATCACCTCCAACTCCTCGGCTTGTAGAGGGTATCCCCAACCTTCTCGGGCGCGGCGGTCTTCGAACTCGCGAGCGGCATCGCCCGCAAATGCTGAAAACTGGAAAGGCGCATCGGGGTCTCCCGGCAAGAGCGATCGAGATCTCGGGACCGCCCGCGTAGGAAGGGGACCTGAGAGGAGCATCTCTGAGGCGCTACCTCGGATCTCGCGAAGTCAGGCCGCCGTGACAATTCTCGAAATGCCCCGACGTTGATGCTTGCGGATGATGAGCGAGCGACGGACATGGTCGTAGGCCTTGTGGAAATCTCCCACCCCCATGTAGACATGCGCCTGGGACTCTTTAGCTTTTGCCATCATCAATCGGGTAGTCGAAACCCCTTCGCGAATCTGAAAACATGTTCTGAAAGCGAACTGGGCCTTGGAGAAGGGCTGGTCGTGAAAATCGACAAAGGGCCCCCACGCACATGGACTGCAACTTGAGGACACGGATCGCGATGGGTCTGAAATTTGGAACTTTGCAGGCACCGCAGAACTTCGCCACCGATGACACCTGGCGGCGAGGAGAAACCGTAACACGCTGCTCGCCCGGGTGAATCATCAACCTGAGGGTGAAGATCGCACCGAGCAGGTCTAAAGTCTCGTTGCTCAACACTTCCAGCATCTCCGCGACCACGCAATCGCCACGAGCACAAGACTTACCTGGCTTCATTCGAGCTAGACACTTACGCAGAAGGGCAGCGCCGAACTGGCGCGGAAGGTTAGCGACTGCCTCCAGCGGCCACTATTGCCAAATCCACTTAGGTCGGAAGTTTGGGGGGTGAGATCGAAGTGGAACGGAGAGCCCCCTACCGGGAAATCGATTTCGGTTTCGTGTTCGTGCCGTGCGTGCGGGCGAGGCGAAGCTGCGTGGGCGGGGGAGAGGACATTCTGCTGTGGCTGGGCCGCGGCTGGACCAAAAGGTTCTCCGCCCAGCAACCGGTGGCGCGCGGTGTCCCGCCGGTGTCCCGCTGGTGTCCCGCTGGTATCCCGCCGGTGTCCCGTCGTGGCTGGGCCGCGACTGGACCAACAGGTTCTCCGCCCGGCAACCCGTGGCGCGCAGTGTCCCGCCGGTGTCCCGCTGGTGTCCCGCTGGTGTCCTGCCGGTGTCCCGTCGTTGTCACGTTGTGTCCTGTGGTGTGATATCGACAGTGAGATCGATAGTGAGATCGATAGTGAGATCGATAATGAGATCGATAGTGAAACCCGAGCGGCAACGCAACGATCTCCACTGGCATCGTCAGAACAACAATCACCACTGTTGCCCATTGCTGGCCCCCTCCCCCCCCCAACCTCCTTATCACCCGCAGGGTGGTCGTATAGGTAATTTACAATCATCTGCTTTGGGGTCGTTGAACAGACCGTGGTAAAAACTGATCCACCTCCTCCCTCATCTCATCCACCTGCGCGATCAGCTCCCCCCCTCCCCCTTAAGAGATTTTACCACCCCACCTTTAAAACTCCTTTCCGCCGTGCCTTTTTTTGAATAAGTATTCATGTTTGCCTTGAGGTGATGATTTTCAGCTCGTAGCTTATGTTGCAGCCCCACCAGCCGAATTCCCAAAGCACGTCGAAGGCTAGGGTCCTGTTCAGCATCGCGTGCTTGACGGGTCGCCGACGCCTGCAACAGAAGTGGATGGTCTTTCGGAGTCCTGGGAGGGCCTCGGTTTCTCTTCTTGCCACAACTTGCGGCCACGTCTGCAACGGTCGAAATAAACTCCCCCAAGGGAGGTAGCTGCTGGCCCTGGCCGTTTTTCCTGATCAGGCTGCTTTTAAGCGGGGACTCATCCACGACCATCTGTACGGACTGAGGCTGCTGCTTATGGGGCGCCTCTAGGAGGTCGGCCCAAGAGCGGCGGAACAGCAGGAAGGGCAACTGAGTGCGAGCCGCCGCCACGCAACCGCGGTAATACAGATGCTGGCGATCGTCCGTCGGGATCGAGCTGCATCTAAGTAAAATGGAGAAGTCGGAGCTCTCGAGTGGGCCCGTCGGGCAAGGTTGGACCCTGAACCACTTGACAGGAGAAACCGAGATAGGCTTTCCACCTTCGAACGCGAGGCGATCAGCAATATGATTTCCGAGACTCCAGCATCACCCCTAACCCAAGAGAGAATGATCTTGAACTTTTGAAATACACTAGCCCAATCATATCGGAGCAGGGAGGCGAGGGCGAGGTCGTGATTTGAGTAGAGTGTTCTCCAAGACCCCGTCGCGCACGCGTCGTCAAAGACGACCTCGACCACGGGGCCTGCGGCGATGAGGTTGTGTCCTGAGGGTGCAAGGGACCCGTGGAGCCACAAACCAGTCTCGATTGCCCTTGAAAATTCAGCTGCGTTGCTTGTACATCTAACACGCCTAGAAAACCCTGGGAGCTGGTCGGCGCGTGCCGGGCCGCAGTTGACGCCCGAGGCTAAAGAGAATTTGAATTCGGGGTCAACCCTGGAGGGTCCTTAAACGCGGCGAAACCCAGACCGCACGTAGACTTAGTCTCGTGCGTTTTTTGAAACGACCGTCACTGAATATTCAAAAGCTCACCTGGTCGGGCGAGATGTTCGCTCTCAGCCGTCCTGGGATATCAAATCTATCCTCGAGCTGGGCGCCAAACGCGTGGTCCAGCAGCTGCCAGCCCACAGGTTTCGACGTGAAGCGACGCTTGCAGGCCAGCGTGAAGACAATCCGGGGGCGGCGCTCAGCAAAGAAGCGGAGCGCCACAAGCGAATAGCCAGACTTCGCCGCCGACGACTCCCTCGCCTGGGCGTTGTAGCTAGCCGCCGGGAGAACGGCGCTCACAATTGCGAAATCGATCTGTCTGGGCTCGAACCGACCGTCGTAAAAGCACGTCGCGACGCCCATCGCTGGCTTGCTCCAGGTGTCGGATGCAATCAAGTCGTGCGATATCAGGAACTCACGCAGGTACTTGGCCTTCCACGAGTGCACTCCTGCCGTGTAGGGTCTCAACTCACGAGTCGGATACCTCCTCTTGCCGAGGGAGGTGCTCGCGTCTACGCCAAGGAAAGGCCTGAAACCAGAAGGTGTTGAATCAATCAGCTGCTAGCACTCGTGGAGATCTTGGGCATATAAGGTATGCTTGTGAGTCGGGATCAACATGAGCACATCGACTCCAGAGTTTGCCACGGGCTGTCTGGATTCCTAACGCTAGACAAGATAATATGACCAGTGGCTTCCCCATGATGCAGGCCGTGAGCGTCTTATGCACTAACGTACAGGGCTTCCTTTTCCGCCTTCCGCTGGGGGGACCTTGGGTTACTGCATGGCCAGCTCTCTCGGGTTTGACAAGGTCGGTCTCCGCGAATTCCTGCAAGCAAATCACATATCAGAAGAATTCGCGGTCGAGTTGGTCCAGCACCCCTGCGGCACCTTTCATCGGAACTCCTCTGCAATTCCACGAGGTGATAACAGTGTCGTCGCTGGCGTGAGCGCGGCGTTCGGATCGTTCATCTCGTCCAGCTTGGAAGCCAAATCGATGTGCACGCCGATGTTGTTCAGCCAAGCCTGGCCTCCGTCCGCGATCCGCACCATATACGAAGGATAAGATCGCGTTAGCAAGCGGATCAGGACCTCCTGCGGAAGGTGCTCGCGCAAGCAAACGACGGTCCCCATGTCTTTCTGCGCGTCCAAGGAATTGATCAGCGCCTGAGCGTCGTGGGTCGGCCACTTCACCGAGAAAGCCGCCCTGATTAGCTCCTTCGCGTGGGCCGCACGGCTGAAGCAAACGATCTCGTCCGTGTACTTGTCGATGCTGTGCCACCCACAACTTCCGCCGGTTGCCGTCCACAGCGTCCGCCTCACGGCCCCTCTCGGCGAGGGAGCTGGCGAACTTCTTCCCTTTTCATCAGGACTACGCACTTCCACATGTAGTCCTTGTCTAAGAACTCTACCTTGACTCGGTCGGTGTAGGATCCAACGGGGTACACCTTAGAACCTCCCTCGACGTGGGCGTTCGTCAGCACCTGGCACATATCGCTCGCCAACTCGGCCCCTTCGGAGTAGATCCAGCCACCTATGCCGAGCGTCTTCCTCATGCCCATGGGCAGGCGATCAACAGGCGGTGCAGCTGTCGAGACGTCTGTGCCCCCACGTCCCACCGAGGCCACCGAAGCTGTTGACGTAGGCACGCGAGCAGCACTGGCCCCCGACTCCACCACGGCCATCATGGATTTCAGGCTGGCGATGTCCCCCTTCAAGTTGGCCAATTCGTTGTCGGTCTTCGTCACTTTCTGGCTGACGACCTCAATCTTAGCATCTAGGGGCCTGATCGAGAGTCCCAGGACGCTCCTGAAGTCTGCAGACAACGCTGAGGCCAACCTGGCTTGCCCAGCGTGTATGGCTTCGGGCACCCGAGCTGGAGCTAGCGCAGCGGCAGCAAGAGGAGGACCAAGAGAAGCTCCTGGAGCGACGGCTGGTGGGCCTGCACCTGCCTTGTAGCCTCTCCACGGGTCGAAGTGAGGAGCAGTGGGTCCACCAGCACCGTCAAGAGCCGCAACCACTCCAGCACTTCCACCGTGCTCTGCAAGTCGTCTGGCCTTACTTTTCTGAGCTAAGAACGCCTCTCCCTCTCCGTCCACCATCACGTCATCATCCCTCGGGAGAGCCATACTACTAGATACACCATATAGTTACCCGCACGAGAGGCAAAATGCGCGCGGGGCTGATGTGGCAGTGAAATGAAACTGGTACCTCAAGGAGATTTTTACGTGCAAACAACCGCAGGCCCAGCAAGAGCCTTGAGTCAAAATGGGACGACGACGACGACGAAACAACGACGACGACGACGAGACGCCCACAAGGACGCACGGTAAGGGCGCAAGGGCCTTGGAAGGCCATGTCGACACGTTACGAGCGGGGCGCGGCCAGCGAAAGCGGCCTAGGATGGGCCGAAGGGGAAGGATGCGACAGTGACCTTGGTAGTCGCGCATCCTTACTATGCGGAATGAGTGTAGTGTCGGCGGCGAGTCCAAGGGGGAAGTCAGACGAGGAGGGCCTTCTTTCCATGAAGACACAGACAACTTCTCAGAGGAAACGAAAGTTTCTGAGAAGCCCCGCCGCCTCCTGAGAAGGCCTTCTCATTTTCACTTCCCCCCGGACGCGCCGCCGATAGATGGGGTCCGACTTCATGGGTCGGAGGATCGCACCGCATCGCCAATGCATCCCCGATGCATCGCCGAAATCGGGCTCCACCGAGCGGCATCGCCGATGTGTCGGCGATGCAGCGCGATCCTCCGACCCCAGCTATATTCGGACCCCATTTGGGAGGGAGGCCGGGCAGGACTAACCTGAGATCCTGGCGTTGCAATTTTCATTCGCACATTTCTTTCACACAAGGCGTGTTCGCCTGACGTCAGGCCCCAAGACCAGCACAGTTCGATCCGGCTCGAAAAAGAAAGATGGAGTCTGGGGCTCTGGTCTTGATTTTCGGCATGCGCGAGGGATGGGCCCAGATCGCCAACGCATTCGACAACAAAAAAACAGGACGGAGGTGTTTCCTCATTTTCGGCGTCTGGAGGCTCTCGCTGGGCCAACGGCCGTCAAAAAACGATCCGGGGCGAAAAGCTGGCCCCGCAAAGTGGTCCAGAGCTTCGGGTCGCGGAGGAGCAGGAGTAGGAGGAGGAGGAGGAGGAGGAGGAGGAGGAGGAGGAGGAGCAGGAG